TCATCACTGCACCACATTTGACTGAGAAATTTCCCATGGGTGTAGCACCACTTTACGGAAAAAAGTAGCTTTCTCTAACAGGTAAATGGAAACATACAATAATTTGTCTGACTGTCATAATCTTTTTTTTTTAATTTTTTTTATTACTTGTGAATGTAAAGAAATGTGCTTCCTTTTTACAGAAACTTGAAACACTGAAATTATTTTAAAAACTATGGTGGTTCTGGGTTTTTAAATATTAGACAAATACATATCACTAGATTATTATTGGTTCTAGTTAGTGTGAGAACTTTGAAAATATTAAAAATACTGGCAGAAAGGGGAAGCAAATATGCCCATAATGCCAAGTCTAAGGTATGATAAATGCTGTTAACCTTTCACGATTATTTCACGTTTTTGTTTATTTTCTATTAGTAAAGTAAAAAAAATTGGATTGCTACATCTTTGAATTACCACTGACATATCATGATTTGTTTGTTAACCCTTTAAGGACATATGACGGAAATATTCCATCACTGTTCCCTTTTATTCCAGAAGTTGTGTCCTTAAGGGGTTAATATGTGCAGAAATTAATTGTAGCTTTCTAATGTACTATATATATGTCATTTTAGTTTATGTGTTGTTTTACCTTTTCCATAATATGTAATCTACAGGGATGTAAAACAATTAACAATATACAGTGATCTCTGTGTAAGTATGAAAAATGTAACTTTATATAAGAATAGTCATTTATGCGAAATTTAATAATGTATTAGTCAAATTCTGTGCAGCATAAAGACAAATCAGTATTCTGGAAACAAAGGAGTTAAAGCATTTCTGTTTTTTTTCTTCTTTTTTCTTCAATATACCTTCATATTTGATATTTTCGGCCCATAGATGGTGCTCTGAAATGAAATCTGTTACTCAGCTTGTTCTTAAACTACTGAATATATCATCTGTTTTTTGGGTTTTTTTTGTAGTTCAAGCAGATTACAGCTAGCAATTCCCAGTTCTTATTATAAAAAAAAACAAAAAAACTGCTCTCTATCACAAGCACAGGTAATTAAAGTATGGCCTTAGAAAAAAAACAAAAACCCATTAGTCAAAGGGGAATGTGCAACTCTCTTAGAACACAAATGAGTGTTATTCTGTAGCTGCTGTTTACAATTGTTATTAAATCCAATCAGAATTTTTAGCAACCATACGATTAATGAAGCAAGGTATTAGATTGAGAAAATTATAACACCATTTGTAATTTATGCAGAACGATTCACAGACCTGCCTAATCTTTACTGCATCCTGCCCCACTATGCGATAACATAGACTAAGGGATGTTGATTTTACTGCCTGTCAATTAGCTGTAATTCAATAATTTATGGTGACCAGGCTAGTTCATTGAAATGAGCTTTGTTGGTAGATAGTCCCAAGGTGTTACAGTTTTTATTTAAGCATATGGTACTTCCCAATCCTAACAAGCCTGAGATATGGTACTCTTAAAGACATTTTGTGGAATACGTGTATACTCCATAAGCCCTCCTCCAGTTCCACAAGGGTTGCTGGTCCTGATGTAATTTTAGGATTGCTGTCTTTAACAAGCAGTTAATCAAGTAACACTGCAGTGTGTAGCAATAAACTGTAATGGCTTAAATGCAAGTTAATTGAACCAGGGACCATTTTACATGGGTAGGAAGCAAAGAGTGTTGTTTTCCATGAGCCACAGACTCAGGACATACTCTGGTCCATTACATCACACATGGTATTATTACCCTGCATGACCATTTATAAAGGTTCAGTAATTATTATATTACCCATCTTAATGCTAATAAAGTATGCAGCTTAGTATATAATTGCTACAAATATTTTAAATGTTTTTCCTACCAGTCAAAGATTTAAGATGGTTTTAGGTTGTTGTGTATTTAATGTGCCATGTCCATCTACCATATGAACACAACCATTTCCTAGATTATGAAATCCTATAACTCTCTACTAATTCACAGTAGTGTGCTATAGGTGTAAAGGTGTTGGGAAAAATGTGTTTGCCTGTTTTTGGGAGCACTAGTGTTTATGATTCTAGAGGGAAAGAAAACATGTGCTTTAAACCTATGCTCTATAGGAAATCTCTAATTCTAGATTACTACTGATACAGGATCTGTGAAGTGGACATTCATACCATTGTCTTTGGTGACCATGATCCACATGTGCAGTGAACTCATCAAGTTGCATTTGCAAATCTCAGATTGCCTGATTCTTGATAAAGCTATTTGTATTTTTTATGCATTTATATTTATGTGTAAGAAAAAGCTTTTAAATCTTCCTATAATGCATTCTCAGCACACATCAGAATCTCAGTAATCACATCTTAGTTCTCTCTTAGCTGTCTATGCTTTTTGCCACATGGAACTATGAAAGTGCCATGCCTAAAATCTAGATAAAAATAAAAACTCTAAGTATAGAGTCAAATGTTCCCCAATTCATGTAGCACAATATCTCGTATTATAGAAGGAAAAGAGTGATATTAGAATTTGGGCTATCCAACAGGTATCTCTGGCTGCAGTCAATATATAATAAAACCAGCTCATTATAAAGGGGTCATTGTGTGGAATTCCAGACTACAGCATCAGAGCTAAATCTAACTTATTCTGGATCTGGCTATAAACAGATGTCAGTTATCAAATAGAAATGGATACTAGTTGGGAAAAAGGATAAAACAAGTAATTTATGTCATTTTCCATGTGTGATAATCCACTTTCTTTTAAAAGCCTTCTGGCATATGCATAATAGAGGTCCATAGTACATAGTCCAAAATACATCAATACATTTCTTTATCTAAAACTGGTATTAACATTTGTATCCATAGAAAAATGCTGTAGAATAAAATTAAACTGAAGATACAGATAGCTTTGGGAGTTGAATCACTTATGACTAATGATACTCAAACATAATTATCAAGAAAGAGCGCAAAGGTACTGTAGCATACGTTTCGAAAGGACTAGTAAACTCTGCACAGACCTGCATGTGTCATGGAAATTTGCAATTGACTGAAAGTGGTTCAGCTTTTGCATAGGACAGAGATCAATGTATGCAGCATTGTTTATCTAGTACATTTATAAGAAATGGTATGAATTCAGGCCTTTTCACATATATGCATTCAAGTTACTAATGTTATATATATTCAGCTTACCCATCCCACTCTCTCTTTTTTATATATATATTTCTCTCTCTCTCTCTCTCTCTCTCTCTCTCTCTCTCTTTAATAAACAAACATTGATGGTTCTTTGATAAAGTTTAAGCTACCTATTTTAAAAGACCTTTTGAGTGCTCTCTGCCTTTGAAATATATATGTGTATATATATATATATATATATATATATAATTTAACCGAAACATACACGCATCTTTACAAGATTTCAACAGGGAACATAGAATCCAAGAACTCAAAAAATGCTGTTCATGATGAATAAAGTGTTATGTATACCTATATGTTTTAGAGGCACGTAGGTAGGATGGTGTTGGACAATATTATGCACTTGATATATTTAAATATTGGTCAATATGATACTAGCCTTATATACACTGAAATGCTATTAGACAATGACAAATTAGTAGCTGGTGTCGGTCCAGTTTGCCCCTAAAAAGATATCCCAATGGAGCACAATGCAGATATTTTTCACTTATTCTCCACAACACTTCCAGACATTGTCATCACATGTCACTGAATTGATCGCTGAATGCAATGTAGGACACATTGATTGATATGTAAAAAAAACAAAAAAACATTTTTGTAAGAAAAGCATAGGTTTCTTTATTTTTTATTTTACTTCAAACGCCATGGTTTTATTGAAGCAAAGAGCAGCCATTGCTTAACCAATTGAATGACAGAAAGGAACTATTCAAGCCTGCAATTGTGAAAGTGTTAATGCTGAACAATAAGTTATTTGTTTGGGGTGAGATGGCTGGCATTGAGGGGAATGTAAATTAAACATAGTCAATGGAAAATCAGAAAACAAGCGCAGTAAAGAAATAGAATTAAAAAAAAAAGAAACCTATTGAGGAGAATGAAAAGTGCAGTTTGGAGAAAATGTGAAGACTAGATTAACTCTAACAGCAATGAAGGGGTTAATCGCTTTCAGCATGAATAAAGCTACCATCTTGCATTGCAAAACAGCAGAAATCTTAACAAATATGCTAAAGATAGGGGGAAAATACACAGTTTTAGGAGCAGTAGCCCAGGTCAAACTAGATTGTGTCCAGATAAAGACATTAGTTCTCCCCAAGGAAATCAATTTATAAGGAAAGCCAACTCCAGATGCTTGGAATGGTAAATCATCCAGTGTGCTTCTCTAAGAAGCAAAATAAGCATAGCACCCTGAGATATCTGACTGATGGAAATTTCCACTAGCCCTGTGGCTGTGGGCAAGTTACAGCAATGGGCATGCAATATATCACTGACTTGGACTTTTCATTTAAATTGTGATACCTAACACTATTCAGCAAGTGCAAAAATAATAATTCTAAGAAATATATATATATATATATATATATATATATATGTATGTATATAATGTATATATATAGATAAAATAAAATTATATATATATATATATATATATATATATATATTGCAATCAATGTGTGTTCATTTTTATTCTCTTTGAATAGGCATACACAGAAAGCCACTACTTATGTTATATATTTCTATATATTATCAGCAAACACAGACACACGCAGGGGCACATTTTATTGTAAAGTTTCCCATTCGTTCTATGGTGAAACATTCGAGTGGAGTCAACGTGTAGAAAAAAGGTAGATGATTTATGCCTGCAGCATACAGTATCGGAGATACCAGCCTTTGCCTGTTCGAAGACACCAATGACCGCACGACATGAGACACCAGCCTCTTCAATATGCTATGTCCTTAATAGTGCTGAGAGAGAGAGATTCCTACAGGTATGGGGAATTTTCACTCCCAGGCGCACCACCTCAACCAAAATCTGCTTCCTTACTGCATCAGAACAGAGCTGATCTCAGACAGAACATCGGAGACTCGTGCATGCAGCTTGTCAATGAAAGAATACAGCAGAACAGAAAAAAATATAGCCTGATATTCGTATAATGCTGCTAAACTGCTTGAAACACGATAGCTTCGTTCACTTGAAGGCATGTATGCATCAAATAACCTATGTATTAAGGTGCTGGACCACAGCATCTCAGACAGGTTGTAAAATTAGCAGCCTGCCTGCATCTCCTATGCCAAAACCCCTCAATGAATAGAATGTTGCGGGGAATAGAATTGCGCTGATTAAAACAAGGCTTTGGAACACATGCCAACTTGAAAGGTTATTTTGCAAGGACTCACCCGTTGCTGATGCAGCCAATAGACCAAAACTGATCAATGCAAACCTGCTCCAACTTTGCACTTCCAGGAGCCCAAAAACCCACCATGCCCCCCAAATTCTCCTGGATGTGCAGCTGCACCCTGTCCTGTCCCCCCACTTCAGCCATCCAGAGATAGTTTTCATGGTAGATTCTGCAGGGATCTCTGGAAAAAAGGAGGTCAGGTATTTCTTGCAAAGAAAATCCCACTACATTGAACAGCTCCTGTTTCTGCAGCCGGAATGAACCAAGTCTGTCCCTGCACTGGGGAGATGGGATCTCTGGTACCGATTTCCCTTTTTTTTTCTTACTTCCAAATCTAAATGACTAAATGGCCCCACGGATCTCCGTCTGTGATTGTCCAGGCAAGTCTTCTGCAATTGCACTTCCAATATTAATCACCCCCACATAATATGGTATCCTCTTTCAGAGAATCATCCACAAGAGGGACTAGGATTTTTTTCCTCTCCCTTCCTCCCCTACATACAACAATGCTGCAAATTACATCTTGAATTTGTCTCCCCCCTTACCCCTCCTCCTACTTCTTTCACACAGGTCCCCACTCATAGGGCAGTGTTCACATATTCATTTATCAGATCCCAAAATAAAATGACCAAGCTATATGCTATAGGTGGGCAAAAAGAGCATGTGATTAACAAAGTAATGTGAAAAAAAATCTGATTTATTTATTTGCACTTTTTTTGCCTGGGGTAGTGGTGTAGAAAAGTGAATTTGCTTAAGCCTTGCAGGGTGCTTAGTTAATTTAGATGCCAGGTACCCATTGCATTATATGGGGATCTTTATGCCTTTTTTTCTAGTGCTTAGTTAAGATTCTGATCGGATTGGGAGAAGTATATTATTTGTGTTTTATTAATGAATAATTTAAACATTCCAACAAATTAAGGAAGATGAATAGCAATCAAATTGTCTTGCAAATATGTTAAACAAACTGGCAGTGATTTTTTTTTGATTTTTTTTTTACATATGATATAATTTACCAGCATATATATACATATATAAAAGGAACTGTTGGATCACATTACATCTGGGGGTATATAGAGACAGAATGGAGCTACTTAAAAAAAAAAAAAACATAAAAAACTCTAAGATTGTATACAGAGACTCTTAAGAGTGAGATGGTGCCCATATCAGGATCCAGGTGAGAGATTAAGTGTTTAGCAGGTTATTAAATGATACCAGTGACAAGTCTCAGAATAGTTTGGTTTTCAGAGAGTGGCTAAAGCTGTAAAGGAGAGGGTGGAGGGAAGAGGTAGCGAACGTAGGAGAAGATATGAAAGAAAGGTAATGAATTCCAGAGGACTGCTTCAGCCTATGAGAATACCTGAACACAAGAGTGGGAGTAAGTGATTAAAAAAGAATAGGAGTGTGAATTGTGGAAATATTAAAAAGAACAAGAAATAAGAAAAAAATGAGATTTGGCATGATGGAGTATTAGGATTCTAAAAACTAGAGACTATAGGTAGTGGCATCCATTGGTCTGTCTGTCTGACTGCCTGTCTCTCTTTTTGTCTGTCTGTCCTTCTGTCTCTTTTTCTGTATGTCTCATTGACAGACGCATACACTCATTGACAGACACACACTCTCATATACACTGACAAACAATGACATACACACACACTATTACTTGCACACACACTGACAGATGCACACACACTGACAGACGCACACACTCACTGACAGACGCACGCACTCACTGACCGACATACACATTCACTGACCCACACACACACATACACACTTACAGACACACACACACATTCACTTACAGACACACACACACATACATACACATTCACTTAGACACACACACTTACAGACACATACACACATACACACTTAAAGACACATACACATTTCTCCCAACACTCACAAATTATTATTTTAACTTTATTTTAAATCCTCCCAGCCTCCCTGGGAGAGCTGGAGTGGATTGCCTACCTGTAGTCCAGTGTGGCTGCTGGTTGGGCAGGCAGGGGGCGTACAGGCTGAGTAGGCGGCGAGGGAGCTTAAATCTTCCTGCTCAGCTCCCTCGCGCGCCGTTTAGTGATGCTGGGAGCCGGTCTGATGTCATATTCCGGCTCTCGGCTTCATTAAGCGGCGTTGAGGGAGCTGAGCAGGAAGAACTCAGGTGAGTATGCTACCCGCTGCCCTCCACCTGCCTTGGGGGGGCTCAAAAGTGGCCAGCCGACCAGCTGGCCAGCTCTTGAGCCCCCCAGGACACGAGACAAGCAAGGGATAACGTCCCTGTCTGTCTGTCTCTCTTTCTGTCTGTCTGCCTATTTGCCTGTCTGTCTGTGTTACTGTCTCTTTACCTATCTGTTGATCTATCTATCTATACCTATTCTTACCTATTCTAAAAACTAGAGATTATAGGTAGTGGCATCCATTGGTCTGTCTCTCTCTCTCTCTCCCTCTCTCTTTCTGTCTGTCTCTCTTTCTGTCTTTCTGCCTATTTGCCTGTCTGTCTGTGTTACTGTCTCTTTATCTATCTAACGATCTTATCTATCTATCTATCTATCTATCTATCTATCTATCTATCTATCTATCTATCTATCTATCTGTCTCTGTCTGTCTGTCCACCTCTCTCTCTCTCTCTCTCTCTCTCTCTTTATATATATATATATATATATATATACATACATATCTACCTACCTATCTACTTATCTATTCTAAAAACTAGAGACCATAGGTAGTGACATCCATTGGTCTGTCTGTATGTCTGTCTATCTGCCTGCCTGCCCTTCTCTCTTTCTGTCTGTCTGTCTGCCTATTTGCCTGTCTGTCTGTGTTACTGTCTCTTTATCTATTTGTTGATCTATCTATCTATCTATCTATCTATCTATCTATCAGAAACACACACACATACATGTGTATAGACATTGAAAAAAAAAGAGAAGCCCTGGAAACAGCAATGACAAAGATATATTATTTTATATAGAGAGAGAGGCCGGTGATCCATAGTACAGAGATGCAAGTGACACAGATATCTATAGAGAGAGGGGACAAAGTGAGAGAAAGGAATTGGAACTTTAAAGATGATGTATAATATCTAAAGAGAGACAATGGTATGGGTGGAGAAGAAGGACATAATTTAAAGCTCAATAAATAATTAAAAAAAACTATGAGAGAATATATTTATAGTAAGATTAGGTGCCATGCAATCATGAAAACGGTTTCATAATGTCAAAACAATTTGGACAGTTTTTTGTGCAATCAGTTTTAGATTATCATCTGTAAATCCACTTCATCTATAACTCCAAGCACCACACAACACTAGTTCATATCCATTATTGCATCCCAAACCCAAACATGGAGCTCATGTTTTCAAACGCCATACTGCATGAAATACTGTCATCAATGATTTATACCCCATGACATACAGCCCAGGGTGCTAAATGGCAGAGATAGCTGCAGTTATGATCCTGGAAAGCAGTTGCTACCATTTTAATTCACCCTCCTTCTCTGCATTTTTGGTGACAACTGCAAATAGCAGATGCCTCTGAGAAAGTATCTTGAACAATTCTTCGGCAGCATTGAGCTACGTATTTCCTAAGATTACAGGGATCCTAACACTAACCCTAACTCTTAACCTAACAATAACCTTAAAGGGTTACTCCAACCCTTTAAACAGGGAACATTTTCTATATAATATGCCCTATTGGGCATCCATTTGCAGCAACACCTGAAAAAAACATATTTACTTACCTGGAACCCAACGCCAGGCTGAGCTCCCAGTACTGACTTCCACGCCCCGTCCTGATGTCATAGGGGGCTTTGCGCTGTCCAATCACAGGCTTCTCATAGAGAAGCCTGTGACTGGACTATTTCACCGGCTCAGAGCGCATGCATGCAATCTGAGCTGGAGACGTGACAGTGGAGGATAAAGGAGAGGGAGAGTGGGAGGGACATATTGATTTAAAAAAGGCTATTCACAGAAGGGAGTACACACTGGGCTAGAGGGAGTACACACAGGGAGGGAGGAGAATGCCAATTTCCTATTGCAGGCACTCTGCAAGGGAAAATATTTTAAGTCTGTTGTCAGAGATGATGGATGTAAAATATACACAAAATTGAAAATAGGCAGCAAGAAATAGAGTTCTGGGTTGTCTAAGTCAAGTATGCTGGGCGTGCATCTAGCCCCCAGCACACACTTAAAAATAACTCAGTACGTGCAGAGTACCTGAAGAGATAAAATAAACACTACAATGATCGGCCGCATCAGCCACAACATAAAAAACACCTACCTAATATTGTGTAGGTCTCCATCGTGCTGCTAGAACAACTGTGATGCATCGAGGAGAACTCCATAAGACTTCTAAACGTGTCCTATGGTATCTGGCACCAAGACACTAGAAGTATATTCTTTAAGGTGGGCCTCCATGAATCGTATTTGTTGTTCCAGCACATCCCACAGATGCTCAGTCGGATATATAGCCATCACTATTGGCTCAGATCATTTCACTTGCCCATTTTCCAGCTTCCAACACATGAAATTCAAGAACTATCCATGTAATCAACATTATTCACTTCACCTGTCAGTGGTTTTCATGTTGTGGCTGATCAGTGTATTTTATATATGGTGTGCAAGGTCATTGCATTGCAAAGGCAATGTAAGGGCATTATAGGAGCAGTTTAAAGGCTTAATAGAGGAGCAATGGGCATATTATATTACAGGGAAACAGTGAATAATCAGGTGTTGTATATAAGAAGTCAGATGGAAGAAATGACAGAAATATAGAATATAACATAGAATCTATAATTGCATTATCAATCACATAGATTCAGGCCATAACACATAATATTGTATGTTTAATTGAATATAACATTAACATATTTAGCCAAGAAAGCTATTGTGTGAATGCA